GCATCCCAACATTTCATTCCTGAAATATCCTAATATTTTATTCCCCAGACACACCAACATTTTATTCCTGGCATATCCTGTTTTATTGATGGAATATCCCAACATTTTATTCCCAACACACCCCAACATCTTATTCCAATCTTATCTCAACATTCTGTCCCTGACGTATCCAAATATTCTATTCCCCATATTTTGTTCCCACCATTTCTCAACTTTTTATTCCTGACATATCCCAACATTTTATTCCCAAAATATCCCAACATTTCAACAATCTGCCTCCCAGTATGATTGATTTATCCCAAAATAACGTTGCCACTGGCTGGATGAAGAAGCACGTAGGGAAGAGCAAAATGTTGGGAAAAGGCCCAAGTTCTCACATTTCCACCCAACTCACCCGGACTCTTCCATCTTCATTCCGGCGGAAGGAGATGCGTTGTCCATAGACATCAACATTGACCAAGGAGACATAGGACACAGATTGGATCCCACCATGGATGTCGTTCTTGGCCTCAACCCTGAAGGGCACCAGCCCAGGGTCATTCCCATGGGATTCGGCCATGGTGTAGGTGCAGGTTCCTTGGAAGTCAAAGTCAAGGCCATCGAAGGTACGGAAGTGTGGGTCACCCCATGCCCAGCATGTGGCGATCAGGGCTGGGACGCAGCGGGATTGGGCACCGCGGGGCCGGCAGCGCTCCTTGGGGCGGCAGTGCAGGGACTTGCAGGGGTCTGCGAGGGGAGGGAGAGTAGGATGAGCTGTGCGCTGGTTGAAACAGGAGATAAACACTGGGGGAAGCCATGGGTTGGGGAAAAGGATGGGAAAAAAAGTGGAGGGAAGTCACGTGAGAGAGAAAACTATGAGATCACCATGGAATAGGAGAAATCGTGAAATGGAAAACCATGGGAAAGACCATGGGAAAAACAATGAGAAACACCATGGGAAAGCCCATGGAAGAAGCCATGGGATGGGAGAAACCATGGGAAAAATAATGGGATGGGGGAAAAAACATCCAAAAAACATTGGGAGAAACCATGGGAAGAATTGCCCAGTCCCTGACCCTTAGTGACAGGGACCGGATTCTGTTCCCTCCACCTCACCTTCCCTTTTTTCACCAATCAACCCCTCAATCATCCCCAGATCCACTTAGCATCTAAAACGTCCTTTTCCCTCATTTCTTCTCACTTTTATTGATGCATCCCAAGACCCCTTCCCGGATTTCACAGGATTCGTCCTCAGTGCAAGTGTGCTCATGGCAGGTAAGACCCTGGCCAGGGACACAGGTGCAACGGCGCTGGCAGTGATCCTGGAAAAGCAACTCATGGGGCTGCCGGGGGGGAGAAGGGAGAAAGGGAAAACCGTAAAAATTTGGGATAAAAAGAAAAAATGCAGAGAAAAGGATGTAAGTGCTGAAGAATAGGGAAAACAGTGAACACATTGCAAGGCAAAGGGATGTACATGCATATCTTCCCCACAAATAAGGAAAAAGGGGGAATGGAAGAAAAAAGACATAAATATATAACAATAGGGAGGAAATGCTGGGGAAAAGCATAAATATAGGAAAAAATGGGGGAAATGCAGAAAAAGAAATGCAAATGCATAACACAGGGAGAAATGCAGGCATGAAAAAAGATGTAACTGCCTAAAAATAGGAAAAAAGAAAAGAAATACAGGGAAATATGACATAAAAATGGGGGGATAGAAAAGGGGAAAATGCTGGGAAATCGAGACAGAAAAATAGGGGAAAATGCAAGAAATAAAGGTGCAAATGCATAAAAATAGGGAAAACGGGGGAAACTAATTTTTAAAATGTAAATACATTAAGCCAGGAAAAAAACCCACCATGAAAACAGAGGTAAATGCAGAAAAGTATCAGACAAAGGAAAACAAATGCAGGAAAAATATAGGTAAGGACATAAAAAAAAAAGAAAGAAGAAGGAAGAGAAGAAAAAAGGAAGCAAATGTATAAAAATAGGGAAGAAATGAAGGAAAAAAAGACGTAGATTTTCCTAAAACCAGGAAAAAAGGCCAGAAAAACTACCTTATAGTATTCGCCATCCCTAAAACATGTGCAGTACTCCTCAGGAACGCATTTGTGTCCGTCAAACACAGAGCCCTGGTGGCACTGGCAGCCCTCAGTGCATGTCTGGGGACAAGTGGTGGCATTTCCAGCACAGGTGTTGGCGCAGGTGTTGGCACAAAGGGAGTAGGTGCTGTTGGCCGGGCAGTTGAGGGCTGCCAATTTTCAAAGAATCATGGACTGAGTTGTATTGGAAGGGACCTTAAAGCTCATCCCATCACCATCATCCCAAGTCCTGCGTGTCTCCACTGTCACCCACACCCAAAGAGAGAACTTTCCCCATCTGTGCCCCCCCAAACTCCAGTATCACCGGGAGATCTTCCCAACCCCAAACGGGACATTTGCTCTTGTGCCCTCCCAAACTCACGGCAGAAGGATGGTGTCCTCCAAGCCCTCACGGTGACTCCAGCATCTTGGCAAGCAGTGACATAGCTCTGGATACTCTGGCACAGGACATGCATGTCCCCTCCCATCATACAGAGGTCATGGATGCAAGATTGGAAATACAGGATAGGGTTGATGATGCGATGGCAGGAGCCAAAGGGACCTTCGGGGGCCATGAGGAAGCCACAGTAGTTGGGTTTTTGGAGGACTGCCACTTTCTCCTCTGTGCAGGTGGGACACTCATCCTTGGGACAGGTGTCATTGCAAGGTGTAGCTGCTGTTTTCCATGCAGATCCAAAGGCTGTTGCATCTGGAGCCAGTTGGCCACTGGAGAGCTGGAAATCATCATTACGTTGGCCATTGTAGTTGCCACAGAGGCCACACAGGCGCCCCATGTAGGTCTGGGGGACCGTGACCATCACGTGCTGGACGAGGTCATAGTGGACAACAAGGCTGAAGTCAGTGCGGAGCAGGACACCTGTCCCATATGGGTAGACCTGGACCTGTCCCTCGCTCAGGATGGTGGGGAGGTGGTGGGAGATTGAATCCACCTGGGATAGAGAAGGAAGAGTCCTCCAGTGAGGAGGTGGGACCAGAATTTTGGGGTAAACAACTTCCAAATAATATTCTGACAGATTTGTGGATCCCACTTGGAAGGAAAAGTCTGGATGAGAATGGATTAGTCTTGGAGATGCTGTGAGGGCTCGCCTCATCAAGGAAACACAGTTTTGGGGTTGACTGAGGTAGAATGAAAAATTTAGGGAAAACACCTTCCAACCAAAGTTTTTATGCATTTACAGATCTTGGTTAGAAAGAAAACTTGGGAGGAGTATGGACTGGGCTTGGAGAGGGCTGGTCCCTTCCATCAAGGAAACCCAATTTGGGGGGGATTCCATGGAGATCTGGAACATCAAGTGCCACCTTACCAAGACATCTGCCCCTTTTCCTTGTTTCAAGGTCAAGGTGACCCCATAGACTTCCACAGACAACGCTTGGATCCTGGAGACCTTTCCCTTCTGC